ACTGACAAACAGATTTACAGGAAAAAACCCATAAGGTTTATGTACATGGAGTTTACTCAGTAATGAGTAACTCCCTGAATACCCAGAGGTTGTATACCAACTTAACAAAAAAGGAGGGGTTTTAGGGTTTCAATAGGAAAGTATGGAGGGTTCTGTTTTTTTCTTTTTTGTCATATTAATGACAATAGGCAGCCTGCCTTCTTCCTGGAATTTGCAAGAAACTCCCTCAGAGCGGAGTTAATGACAGCTGTATTTTCTTGAGTCTCTGCTTTAGTCAGATAAGGAATATTCAACTAAGATTTTGAACAAAAATTCTCTGTTCTACAATCTCCAAGTATCATTTCAGTGAAGATGATTCTCAAGTCCGTATTTCCAATTCCAAAGCTGCCTTGGAGTCAGCGTTTTTACATTGTAAACTTAGATGACCCATGGTTGGACCTGTCTGTTAGGAAGCCATTTGTGAGATGATGCAAAGGATTGGAAGTAGAAGTCTGTCTGCAAGGATTAGAGAGCAATCGTTAATAAGAACTGTAGAAATTGTCTACTCTTTAAAGAAGTTTGTCAGTAAAAGGAAGCTAAAAGAAAGGATAGTATCTAAAGGAATAGAATGGATGCGGGGATATTTTACTGGAAGGTTGAATGGAAAGAGAACATCTTTAGGAAAAGGGGGGAGCATCTTCAAAGTGGGGGTGTTAAATATACAAAAGAGAGGGTGGTTAGCTGATGGAACTGAAAGCCAGTTTAGGAAGAAAGATCAGAATTGAAGAGCAAGATTTAGTAAAAAGTAGGGACACTTGTATCTCAAAAGAGGTGTAAAGGGATAGAGGAGGATGAATGAAAAACTAGATTTGAGATATAGAATAATTAAAGAATTACTAATAAATAAGGTAAGTAATATGGTTAACAGAGTAAGAAGTGTTGTATGGTGTGGGAGACCACAAGAAATCGGGAAAAGGATTGTATCAGTGGTCAAAATAAAAGTACTGGTATAAAATCTATTTAAAAGAAGCCGCAGTACTTGGCTTACAATATGAAGTTTAACTTACAGACTCTTAATGGTTGGCTTTGAGGGGAAAGATAGTGATTGCAGACATGCTAAATTTGAAGTAGTAATGAGACATCCAAGATTAGCATGAGGCAGGTAGTAGGAGACATTAAACCAAAGCACATAGAAGAGTTATAGGTAGAAATTGAGTTAAGGAGTCTTTCATGTAAAGGGGAAAGATAATTTTAACAAAGTAATAGTTCATGAATGTCCCATATAGCATAGGGGATGCAGTCCTAGAGATGAAAAAGTCAAATTAATTAATTAAGTGAATCGTCTTTAGAAATATTTTTCTACCATCATATACTGGCAATTCTCTCCCCTCCACGTCAAAGCCCTTATAGTCATGATTTTGCCTGCAGCCATATTTTCTAATAGCTTCAATTCACATGATTTTTGTCAATATCCGCAAGTTAGTTTAAGATACTTTCTGCCATGGCAAAGCATTTCCATAATCCGTAGTTCCTTAATTATTTTTACCATTTACTTTTCCAACCATTTCTTTAATGACATCTTGATCTATCATAAAACTTACATTTTTAGATCCAACATTATACTCTTTCTTTGTCACTGTGGCAGCAATATCACTTAAACTACTTTTTGTTAGGTAGTTTGGGTCAAAATTTTTTCCCTCCAGACAAAAAGTATAGCATTAAAAGAAGCCACAGCAAAGTAAACACAAAATTGCAGACAAAATTCAAGTCAGAGGAATGCAATTGACCATTTGCGGTGTGCTAATTCTTGCTGGCTACAGGTCATTCATAGTCTACTGCAGTGCTTTCATTGA